TTCTTTTTGCTTAATTCATTTTGCTATATTTATTTATTAAGAAGATTTTTTTTCTCTTTTATTCCATTTTTATTTGGGCAGAGGTATCAGGGGTGGAGAATAGCAATAGTGATGCCTAAGAAAGAGGGCCATTGAAACAGTTTACAAGATGCACAGAAGAGAAAAGAAAGATGTTTGGAAGGAAAGACGGACAAGTAGGACAACTTGTAGCCACATGAAGAATTTATTAAATGCTTTTTAAAAAATCAAATCATTTGGAGCAGCTAGGTGACTCAGTGGGTAGAGCTCCAGCCTTGGAGTCAGGAGGACCTGAGTTCAAATCCAACCTCAGATACATAACACTTAATAGCTGTGTGACCCTGGGCAAATTACTTAACCACAATTGCCTCACCTAAAAAAAAAATCAAATCATTTGTAATGGGAATTCATAAGTTCATATGGAATTCCTTTTATGTTTTTCTATGTGTATGGAAATACTCCTTTTTGTGTGTTCAGGCCCAGAATATTTTTAAAAAATTAATCAACACTTTACAAACACTTGGAAAGACTTACATGAACTGATGCTGATTGAAGTGAGCAGACCAGGGAGAACATTGTACTCAGTATCAGCAATATTGTGCAATGACCAACTTTGATGGACTTAGCTCTTCTCAGCAGTTCAATGATCTAAGACAATTCCGAAAGATTCTTGATGAAAAATGTTATCCACATTCTGAGAAAGAACTATGGAGTCTGAAAGCAGATTGAAGCATGTCATTTTTTCTCTCTTTTTTTTTCTCGTGGTTTTTCCCTTTTGTTCTGATTCTTCTTTCACAACGTGACTAATGTGGAAATATGTTTAACATGATTGTGCATGTATAGCCCTACATCCTATTGCATGCCATCTTGGGAATGGGGGAGGGGAGGGAAAGGGGAAATTTTTAAAATAAAAATCTTATGAAAGTGAATGTTGAAAACTAAAAATTAATTTTTAAAAATCAACACACTGATGTCTGATTTTGCAACACTCCCTATACTTTTGGATGAGCATACTTCTACTGGGAAGGAATCATGGGTTCTAATCTTGTTTCTATCACTCATTTACTGTGTGACACTGAGCATATCAATGAATTACTTTGGTTTCCAGTAATAGCACCTCCTCTGATTACTTCACTATGAAAAAATGGTTATGAAAGGTTTTTGAAATGTCAAAAGCCAATGAGGTTGAAACTGATTCCTGAGGTGGCCTAAGGGGTAAATTAAAACTAAAAGAAAGAAGGATTTGACAACAAAACAGACTAAACTCATGGCCCTGTTACGCAGCATAGAAAGATTTGTAAATAAGACTGAGCTGGCCTCTATAATTGCACTAGGTACTTAGAACGGCTGATCTGGATAAAGTTTCTTTCTTACTTAACCTATATTTGCCTGTATTAAAGTAGATTATAGAATGAAAAGCAGCATGACACATTGGATAGAGAGTTGCCATCAGAGGAGGCAGAGCCAAAATGGTGGAAGAGCAGGAAGTAGAACTCTCCCGGCCAAAAAAAAAAATCCCACCTCCAAATAGATCTAGAAAATGTAACAGAATGGATCCTGATGCAGAAAGCCAGAAAAAAAAAATATTGAGTTGTTTGTTCAGCTCAGATTGGCATGAGAAGACAGATGGAGAGCTCTGTAGAGACTGGGGATGGATCCTAGCCACAAACACACAGCAGACTGAGGACTCCAGTGCCCAGGGAATGGCTATGCACCAGGGCAAGAGGAAGTCCCAGACCCATCCAGGAGCACAGGATGCAGAGGACTGGACAGCTGCTAACTGGAAGCTTTGGCACCCATTACCCAGTTCTGGGTCACCAAGACTCAGATGTCCACCAAGACCAGACTGAGAAAGGGACCAGTGCCTGGGGGTGGTGTTCCCAGGTAGGGAGTTCCAGGGTGGTGTATAGAGAAAGGAGCCAATGCAGAAGCAGCAGCAGTGGTGTGATTCAGATCCCCAGAAACAGAGCAAAGTCTCAGTGCCAGCTTCTAACCCAGACTGTAGCCTACAGAGGAATAACCAGGCAAAGAATCCTCCCCCAAAGGGAACCATACCATTCTTTCTTGATAAACCAGTAGATCACAACACAGATCCTCTCAGGAAGAAATTTTTTTAAAAGTACATTATTGAATTCTAAACTTGGCCTTTAGGGATATGGCAACTAATGCCTTGTGCTGAAGGAAGTGGGATGGCTGGGTCACGAAGTGGATAGAGTATTGGACAGAATCAAGAAGATCTGGATTCAAAGCCTGCCTCAGATACCAGTCAGCTAAGTGACCCTCACTTTATATCTCTTAGCCTCCATTCCTCATCTGTAAAATGGGAATAATAATAAGCACCTACCTCCTAGGGTTATTGGGATGATCAAATAAAGCACTTTGTAAATGTTAAAGCTCTATAGAAATGCTAGATGTCATTATTATTATAGACAGACCCCAAGGCAAGAGAGTCCAAGAAAAGTAGTGTGGCCTGGACTTCCTGGAAGTCTTGGGTATAAGTTGGGATTCTGCCACTCCCTAGGAGAATTTTGACCTTTGGCAAATCCTTTCCCCTCTCTAGGCCTTAGTTTCCTCATCTGTACAATGGGGGGTTGAACCCAAGAGTACCTGAGGTCTCTTAGAAAGCCAGCTCTTGCTATCTAGGATTTATGCTCCAAGTATCACCCATGGTCCAGGGCCACCAGCAAACACACTTGGGCTTATTCTGAGCATCCTGACCATAAAGGGATAAAGTTCTTTCTCTCTGGATCCCTAATGCCCTCACCTGGGGATCTTGATTTTCCATATGAGTTAATAACAATATGCCCTCCCACAAAGGTTTTTGAGAGACACTTTGGATACCAGATATAGAACAGACTGCTATGTCCTCTGCCACAGAACCCGAATAAGACACATAGTATCCAGACACTTATAAGTACATATAAGAAACATAACAACCTAATAGCCCATTACCCTTATTAAATTCCACGAAAGCTAAAGACACTCTATAGTGATCAAGTGCCAGCCATTTGCCTCACAGTGCCACTGTCCAAGGAACTTGGAGAAATATCCTGGGCTATTGGCAAGGTCCAGACTTCCTGCCCTGCCCTTTCCTGGCATGGCTTTAGCCCTTCAGCTCCACAAGGCTTCTGGCAGTGCTCTTGTCCTCTTCAGAGGAGGGATCTGGTCAAGACATTTTTTCCCTCCAGGTTCCTGGCACCAGTTTCTCGAACTCAGAAGTTCTTGAACTCAAGATTAGCAATGATTTTAACTCTGGAAGCTCAAAACATCTATTTTCAGCAATGGTCATCACCAGCCTGTGCTTCAAAAAGGAAACAGAGAGATAAACCAAGCCCACCAAGAACTGGAAAGTCTAGGAAATATCATAGGCTCTTCAAAGAAAGTCCATGTCTCTCCTTGCCATGTGTTTCTGCCCTAAGTCACTTCAGGGAAGAATGACAATTTCTCCTATATCTTCTTACTGCACTATAGTCTAGAAATCCAAGACAGAGGAAGTATGAGGAAAAGAGATCTTTTCCCCCAAGGGTGGGGGTCATTTACTCCTCTATCCAAGGGGGAGGCAGTACCTCCAATAAGAAGCTATTCTCCTGAGCCCCAAATAACCAGTCATCCTTGTATAGGTTGGTGACTATAGACCAACCAAGGGAGTTCACTGTGTCCTCCCAGCAAGGGCCTAGGGGCTATGCCAAGCTACATGGGATGTGCCCCCTTCCCACAAAAGTCTATACCCTATCATCTCATCAAGTGAATTTAAAAAAAATCAACAAAATTGATCCAGGGTCCTTCTGAACACCTCTTCTAGGTAAGGTTCCCTGCAGCTGGCAATCTGTGTTTCTAACTTCTAGGGAGGGGCTGGATAAATGACTTCAAAAGATTTTGTCCCATACCAAGTTCTGCTATCTTTCAAAAATTCCCAAGGAAATAACCACGACCTGATTCCAATCCCTCTCAGCTGCAGAAAGGAAAGAAAATGCAGACAGAGTGACTCCATTCATCATCTCATCTTCATCAGAACTTACATTTCTTCAGGTCAGGGCCTCAGGGGTCCTGGGGCCAAAATGGTTCAGCCAAATCCCCACCGAGACCCACAACCAATCAGACAGAGGTGTCTTTTGACTTCAGCCTGTGAGACACAAGTACCCAACTCTTAAACCAATCAGATAAAAGATATTTGATATGCCAAATAATCAAGTACAAGTCTTCATTGCCCCCAACCAACCACACGCAGGAAGAATATTAATAGGAAAGTAATTCTTTATTGGACAGAGAGAGGCTCATCAAAGTGGTGGCTTTTCAAACCAGATCCCTTTTGGGTTCCTGGCAACTACAAGGTCTTCATGAATGATTCTTTTCCTCCCCTGGGAAAGTACAAGTGGAGAAAGCTGATTCCATCTCGGCCCAGGGAAAAGTACCCATTTCCTGGGTAGACTGACCACTTCTCTTGCCACATTCCCATCTCCACTTCCAACGAAGAATAGAGAAAGATCCCTCCCCTGGAGGCTCTCCAGAGATCAAAGTTTATCATGGATCTTAGACGACTGGACTTCAGAGATCTCCTAACCTAGCTCCTTTATTTTATAGATAAGGAAAACGAGGCCCAAAGAGAGAAAGGTATTTGCCCAAGGTCCTAGAGCCAGTTAATGGCTATGTGAACTAGACACCAGAGCACCAATTAAACCCTATCTCTTGAAGTATTCTCCTTCCTCTAGGGATCCGGCCCTGCTCTGGCTGTAAATGAATTCACCAGCATCCCTGTCCCCTGGGTCACCAAGGAGGACAAGCCTTGACAATTTTGGGGGAATTTAATCATTTATTGCTCCCAACCCAAGTGAAGAATGTGTCAAGGCAGGGACCCACAGCAAACTTACCCTATTAAGTGGTCTCAGTTTCTAATCTTGCCAAATACAATTCAAGCCTTCTTTGTCTGGCCTCTTTAAACTTGATAATTTTCTCTGCTGAAGGGTGAAAAAGAGAGAGATGGCTCATTCTGCAACTAAGTCTGAAAGGAACAGGAGGGAAAGAGCCAGAGCTATGAAGACACCAGAGTCTGATGGAAGGAGCTCTGGTCTAGGAGTCCAGAGGTCTGGGCTCCCTGCCTCATTCTGCCCCTCATTAGTTGTGTGACTTCAGGAGAATTTCATTCACTCTGAACTTCAGTCTCCAACTCTAAATGCTGATGTTACCCTAGATAACCTCACAGCTCTAACTATCTTTTAGTCTGTGAAGAGCACAGAATAAAAAGGGCTCCCTCCTGAAGTGGTTAAGAGTAAAAGGGGTCTGTACCTGTTTCCTTGTCCAGCTTTGGCACATCAGGGTTCAGAGCATCAATACACTTCTTGCCGCAAATGCCTCGGCAACACTTCAGAGTCCCAAGGCAGTCTCTGTCCCTGTGACATTTGTCGGGGGGCTTTGTCTTGGTACATTGATATATTACAACTGGACAGGTTCCCAGCTTCCCTATAGACAACACAGATGCAGGATGGCCCAGGTGAGAGACAAGATTCTGGCATCATATAAATGTTGGAGAAGATATGGGAGAATTGGAACACTGATGCATTGTTGGTAGAGTTGTGAACTGATCCAACCATTCTGGACAGCAATATGGAACTATGCCCAAAGGGCTATAAAAATGTGCATACCCTTTGACCCAGCAATAGCACTTCTAGGGCTGTATCCCAAAGAGATCATAAAAATGGGAAAAGGACCCACAAGTACAAAAATATTTATAGAAGTTCTTTCTATGGTAGCCAAGAATTGGAAATTGAGAGGATGCCCATCAATTGGGGAATGGCTGAATAAGTTGTAGTATATGAATGTAATGGAATACTATTGTGCTACAAGAAATGATGAGCAGGCTGACTTCAGAAAAACCTGAAAAGACTTATATGGACTGATGCTGAGTAAAGTGAGCAGAACCAGGAGAACATTGTGCACAGTAACAGCCATGTTGTGCAATGACTAACTTTGATAGACTTAGCGCTTTTCAGTAATGCAAGGATCTAAGACATTTCCAAAAGTCTCATGATGAAAAATGCTATCCACATCCAGAGAAAGAACTATAGATTTTGAATGCAGATCAAAGCATACTATTTGCTCTTTTTTTTCCCTTCTGTTTTGTTTCTTCTTTCTTTTGGTTCCTCCTATTGGTTCTAATTCTTCTTTACAACATGACTAATGTGAAAATATGTTTAATAGGAATGTATATGAAGAGCCTGTATCAGACTGCACACCATTTTGGGAAGGAAGGGATGGAAGGGGAGAAAATTTAAAACTCAAGAGCTTATGGAAGTGATTGTGGAAAATCACAAATACATTAATTAATTCAAAAAAAGATTCAGGCATCACAGAATTTAGAGCTGAGCTTGAAGGAAACTTAGAACATGGACTCCATACCTAAAAGTCTCTTGGATTCCAGGACGCTATACAAAATTCACAGTTGTCTCACCTTGATAGAGGAAGTCTGATACCCACAGAACTGGAACCAAAGACGATCCAGGGCTGGTGATTCTGCCTGGCTTCCTCCCTAGACTGGTTAAGGAGTGACTGTGGCAGTTCTGTCCTTACTGTGACTGGGGCTGGTGCCAACCCTTCTCTTGAATGGGAGTATATTGCCTCCCTCTGGTATAGTGCCTCAGACGCATGGGAAGGATTTGGCCTTGGAGTCTGAAAACCTGGGTTCTGGTCCCAGCTCCAAGATTTATGGGCCATATGACCTTAGTCAAAATCATCTCTTTGGGGACCTGCATTCCACATCTGCAAAATGACTATAATAATCCTTGTACTCACCTAAGTTCCTAAAAGTATTTAAAAAAGTGTGAGGTGTGATGATTATTATTCTGGTGATGGTGGAGACCCACCTCCCCAGGTTCTATTATACACACACAGTGTATGAGGCCCCAGCCATCACTAAGACCATCCAGAGAAGGCTTGCCCTTTGCCCTTTGCCCTTCTTTTCTCCACAGCACCCTCCAAAGGTTGACTTTCATTCTGATTTCACTTAGCCAATAATGAGGCTTTGTGTGTGTTTTCTAGAGGGTTCTCAGACAGGCAACTATGATTTATCCCAACTGAACACCCTATACCCCACAACCTGCTTAGAAAAGCCCAGCCTCCAAACTTTTGCCACCCTCTTCTCCCCATATGCTTGATTAATTCATATGCCTCCCTTTTCTAAAACCTGGCTTCAAGCTCATCTTTTTGGGGAAGTTTCTTTGATTATCATAGAAGCATATAAGTTTAGAGCTGGGAAAAGAGATAATCATCTATTCACTTTATAGGAGAGAAAGCTGAACCCCACAGAAGCATCTTGTCCAAACATGCTAATTGACCAGAACTCAAATCCTCCAGGTCTAGGCCATGGCTCTTTCCCCTTACTGTGCCACAGTCCACCCACCCACCCACTCACCCCAGAACACTCTCTGAGGCTTTCACTGGCATGTTATCCCCATTCAGATTACATGATATTCCTCTCTACCCACCTGGACTTTCCTTGGTTAGCAAACCATGCCCTCTGTGATTCAGGGAGGCAGCTCTGGTTCAGCTAGTGTTAACAAAGCCTGGAAGTTTCTCTATAGGGGAGTAACTAAGCGGGGGTGTCCAGGGCTTTGCCATAGGTATCAATATGGGTTGGGACCTGGTTCTTTCTGGATAGCCCTGACACCAGTGACCCAGACCCCTCCTCATCCCAGGCTGACTCCCCACATGGCTGTCCTCTGTGACTACACTGACCTAGAACTCTCTTCTTCCTGTGCCTCAAAGATTTTGTCTCTAGGCAGAAAGGAGTCCTCGTTTCACTCCTGCTCCTTTATATGTAAACAGCTCGTAATCACTACCAACAGCCCTCCTACTCACAACAGACCTGAGTTCAAATCCTGCCTCAGGCACTTACTAGCTATGTGACCCTGGGCAAGTCACTTAACCACTCTCAGCCTCAGTTTCCTCATCTATAAAATGAGGTGGTTTGATTGATGGTCATCTGAGATCCCTTGTAGATCTATATCTAAGATTCTATGATTCTACCCCCAACACTAATGAGGCGCGCAGACCTCTAGCTCTAAAATCCCAGCCCTAAGACCATATCTTCCCCAGCCCAAAGAACCTATCCCTAACAATAACTTATGAGTGGGCCCCAGTGAGGCCAACTATCGCCCCTGTTACAAGAACAAGCTCACCTCTGTAGAATTTCCTTGTATGAACAGGACTATCTTATACCAGCAGAACTATCATGTACTGATTCCCACAGTTACTGTATACAATTTAGAGATCAAGCTATAGATGTCAATTCCCAAGACTATCTTCCTATAGATGTAGATGTACAGAAGTACAGGCCCCTTAGAAGCCCTCTTCTCCTCTCCCCTCCACCAAAGCCATGCCAGTAGTGAATGAAACTTGTGCCCAAGGTACAGAAACTGCATGTTTACCACCTAATTAGCTTACTTGCCATACAATTCGCTGTATCTTTTCTGTATAAGCTTCGACATCAGTCCTGTTGGGCTGCAAGTTCTCTAAAGGAACTGTGCCCACCTTTATTAGTGTCATAGTAAATTTTTTGCCACTTGACAGGAAGACTGCTTGAGTCCACAAATTCTTTCCAGACAACTCTGCCCTGAATCTTGGTATTTTGGAGTCCCTGCAACCCCAACATGACTGTGATATAGGATCATAAGATTAAAGCTGGAGGGTTCCTTAGATACTTTTTGTCTTCTAGTCTGGATCACGAATCTGAGACCCATCAAACTTAAGTGATTTGCCCAAGGTCATACGATGAGTAAGGAGCAGAATGGGGTTTGAGAGCCAGGTCCTCTGAGCCCACAGGTAGAGCTCTTTCCACTATACAACAGGGATGCAGAGAATCTTAGAATCAGAGAATTGTAGGATCTCAGAGATAGAAAGACCCTCAAAGGCTAGTCTGGTCCAACTTTGACCACGAATTTCCTATACGGTCATCCAACCTCTTCTTTAAGCACCTCTGGTAATAGAGAGCTCACTGCCTCTCAAGGCAGCTCATTCTATTGTTGGACAGCTATAATTATGAAGGATTCCCTTTCCTTTCCTTCCTAAAATTTACTTTCCTCTAACTCCTCCCTTTCTCCCTCCCCCAAACAATCCTAGTTCTCCCTCTGGGGCCAAGCACAGTTTAATTCTCCTTCTTCTTCCTTTATGTGTCCAACTCCCCTCCCTCCACCCCAGCTGCCCCAGGGCCAGACTTAACTGAGCTCTTTACCTGAGTGAGGTCTGAGGCACTGTTTTCCACAGGCTCCTGGACAACACTTGTACAACCCTTGACATTCTCCATCACAGGTACATGTGTCTGACAGAGTCTTCTTCCCACACTGGCCTTGAATGTCTGGGCAGAACCCTGGCTTCACTTCTACTTAGAAGAGATATGAATAACATGAGGTCAGAGGGAGAACTTACTGTCTGGATCCAATCTCTAATAATTAAATTCCATCACCTTTGTGAAAATCACATTTGATTTTCACAAAAATTCTAAGAGCATGACAAGGTCTCTCTATACTAGAGAGGAGAAAACTGAGTCACTGAACTGAACTAAGGTGAGTCCTCATTTTCAGATGGGGAAACTGAGGCCTAGAAAGGCAAAGCAACTTGCCTAACACTGGAATCCATCCCACTCTTTCCACAAAATTGAGCAGAACCAAAACCAGTCAACTCAATTCTTTCCAGAGGAGTCACGCCTCCCCCTTCTCCTGGGAGCACTGTCTGGTAGTGTGGTCACTTGTAAAAAGAGCTAAGATATGAAGGATAAAGACCAGATGGGGCTGGAAGTGGTCTACACTTACCTGACAACCTGTCTTCAACTGTATATTTACACTCAAAGTGACAGTAATAGAAGCAGCATTTCTGTTTGCCACTGCACTCTTCATCACTCTGACACTTGGCCTCATAATGCCTTCTGCAGAGGGCATTATCTTCTGGACAGGTGCCTGGTTTCGTGGACCCTAAGAGTGGCAGAAGGGAGAGGTGACTAGTCCTTGAAGGCTTCCCTCCTGTCCCAGTAAGCAGCCTAAGGGACTAAAAGAGCACAGACATCCCCCATCACATGATCTCTGCCTGTGAGCCTGGTTCAGATTCCTATAGATAGGGATCGTCCTTGCACTACCTAGCTGCCTCACAAGGTACCTCTGAGGAAAGTGCTTTGCAAACCTTAACATCCTAGAAAAATGGAAGACTACATGACTCCTTCTAACTTTAACATTCCACGTGGTAATATTTTCTTTGAATGCCCTGGGGGTCTGTGCCTTTTATCCTACCCAGAGAGATGAGGCAGAAAATACAGCTTCCTTCACCAAGAAGGCTCAGGCACTCTCATTCCCAGGGAGGGGCAAAAATGAAGCTGGGTATAATTTACATTTAATTAGTACCTGACAGTTATAAAGCACTTTATGCCTGTTATCTCACGTGGTCCTCCCAACAACCCCATAAGGAAGGTAATAAAGCAGTATTGTACACATTCTAGAGTCAAAGAAACTTAAGGCTTAGAAAGTTTCAGTGATTAGAATGTTGAAAGTTGGGAATGAAAGGGATCTTAGAAACCATTTCTCTAATTCAATGCCCCCAATTCACAGCTGAGGATGCTGAGTGGGTTGTCAAAGCTCACACATTTCCTTGGTAATGGATGAACAGAGAAGAGAGCTTAGATCTCTGACTTCTGGTCCAGTCCTCATCTCTCCTTATAGCATGAAAATGAAGGATCTCAGAGTGTAGGGCTTGAGAAGGGGAAGGAGGTTGTGCTTAGGATTAGGAGGAATTATCTGAGGCAGGGGGGAGATGAATCCCACCCTCTATTCCCAATAGCCTCTGGTTAGTTTGAGGTCAGATCCATCCTTGCATCCATCTAGCCCTGGAAATATCCCAGGCTTGTCACATCACTGGGGACAGCATGCTCCCTCCATGCAGCCATGGGCTGCCCTGACCATTCCAAAAGGAGGACATTATTGGGGCACTCACCCTTTTCAAGAACAGGCTTATATGTCCCAGTCCAAGGCACAATGAGGAGCAAAATGATGGAGAATAGACCGCTGAGGTACATGGTGCTTGCTGGAGAGAGAAGCCTATGAGGGGCAGGGACAGGGGCAGAGTGCCTGAAATTTACCCTGGCTCTGGGTGTGGGGAGGTCTAGGGGCGGGACCCTCTCACGTCCTGCTTGGGGCAACAATGGTTGCATAACACCATGAGGGAGGACCCCACAGCACTTGCCTACAGTAGGTAGGTAAGGAGAGAATAGAGGAAGTCTCTGGGAGGCTCCTGACAGATCCTTCTCCTGGGGAGGAACAAGAAGGATAGGCAACCTTCCCCCCTACTGCACTGGAAAGAGTTCTTGACTTGGTGTCAGTAGACCTTAACTCTCACACTCCGTTGTGGGGTCTTGGGCAAATTACAATCTCTCTGAGCCTCAGTTTCTGAATCTATAAAATGGGAGTAGTAATGCTTATATCACCTACCACAAAATCTTCTTGTGAGAGAAGCACTTTGTAAAACCTCATACTTCAATCACAACTATCTATAGCCATACGAAAAAATACTCTAACTCACTATTGATTGGAGAAATGCAAACTAAAACAATTCTGAGGTACTATTTCATACCTATTAGATTGGCTAATAAGGCAGAAATGGTGAATGACAAGTGGTGGAGAGAATGTGGGGAAAATGAGATATTAATGCATTGTTGGTGGAGTTGTGAACTGATTCAACCTTTCTGTAGAGCAATTTGGAACTATGCCCAAAGGGCTATAAAACTATGCATACCCTTTGATCTAACAATACCACTACTAAGTCTATATCCCAAAAGAGATAAAAAAAAACAAAAAGGAAAAGGACCTATGTGTTCCAAAAATATTTATAGCAGCTCTTTTCTGGGGACAAAGATTTAGAAATTGAGGGGATGCCCATCAATTGGGGAAATGGATGAACAAGTTGTGGTATATGATTATGATGGAATACTATTATACTATAAGAAATAATGAGCAGAAAAGCTTGCATGGGCTGATGCAAAGTGAAATGTACTGTGTACAAAGTAACAGCAATATTGTAAGATGATCAGCTGTGAATGACTCAGCTATTCTCAGCAACACAATGATCCAAGACAACTCTGAAGCACTTATGATGAAAAGTGCTATCCATTCCCAGAGAAAGAACTAACAGTATCTGAATACAGACTGAAACACGCTTTTTTTTTTACTTTGTTTTTCTTGAGGTTTTTTTTTTTGTCTATAGTTTCTTTCACAACATGACTATTACGGATATGTTTTGTATGACTAGAGATGTATAACCTATATCAAATTCTTTGCCTTCTCAATGGTGGGGTGGGGGGAGAGAGGAGGGAGGAAGCAAGAGAATTTGAAGCTCAGAGTTTTAAAAATGAATGTTAAAAATTTTTTATATGTAACTGGGAGAAACAATATATTAAATAAATAAAGTAAACCTCATATATCTATAGAAAGGTGGTTACTATTACCATCACATAGAGGGGTATTAAAATCAGTTCCAATCATCTCTAGAGAGCAGATTGTTAAATTTTCAATGTGAACCTCAGAAATCAATGAAGTAACAAATCAGGGCTTGATTTGTCCTTTTAAATATTGTCTAGACTTAAGAAAGTAATAGAGAACATGTAGATTAATAGGCAGATTAAATTGAAAAGTGTGACATGGATTTTTTTTTAAACTAGTTGTTAAATTTTTACCAGCAAAGCTACCAATCCCCTATCTCTGGCTAAAAGGTCAAGGTGAGCAGTTTCCATTGGCAGAATAACAACAATTAACATTTCTATAACACTTTAAAATTTATAAAATTTTAAAAACACTTTGTACATGTTATTTTATTTGAGTCTCACTTTAGATCTATAAGGTAGATGCTATTATTATTAGATGAAGAAAGAAAAGATAAGAGAGATTAAACGATTTACTCAGGGTATAGCCAGCAAATAAATGTCTGAGGCAGAATTTGAATCCAACTCTTCCTGACTCTAAGTCCATAGTTCTAAATATGACCCACAAATGTCTAAACAGTAAAGGAAGGTCCCAGTGTTCCCCCAAAAAATCCTGCCTACTCTGGCTGAAGGAAATTCTACTCTTAGACCTTCATTCCTTTGATTTGGAACTTTATTTCTCAACTAGCCCTAAGTTATCATTTAAAGCCTCCTAGGAAAAGTCACACTGTGACTATTAATACTCATTGGCAGAGCCAAGATGGCAGAGTCAAGATGGCAGAATAGAAGTAGCAAAGTCGCAACCCAGCCAGGATCTTCCAGCATTCCCCTTCAAACACCTTTATAACCAATCTGTCAAAGATCATTCTGAAATGGTAGAGCCAACAAAAGGCAGAAGTGAGACATTTTTCTAGACTATGACAATTTAGGAGGTCACTAAAAAAGGTCTGGGACATGGGGGGGGCAGAGCACAGGTGGCACCATCACCAGTGGTGGGTCTTGGAGGTAATGGTAATAGCATCAGCATTAGCTTTGAAGCTCTCAGCCAACTGCTGAGAAAGAGATGAGAGGGGACCCTGAGCTGCCACTGCTGCAGGACCCTGTTTTATTGCCCATACACAGTTTCAGGGCTCGATTCCAAGACAGGGAGGACCATTAGCCTTTGAGGCTGCAGGGGAACAGGGACCCTTGTCTCAGTTTCAGGACCAAGAGGATTGCTAGCATTTGTCCCTAAGGAGACTCCATCTGCAAGGGAGCAGAGGCCCTTCCTGGGTAAAGATCAGAGCACAGACCAGGAGAACAGGGACCACATCTCTCTCCTGATCACATCACCACAAAAGCATCAAGAGCTTACAGACCCCCAGAACTAGCTCTGAAAACAGCAGCAAGTAAAAGCCTTAAAGTTCACCCCATCCCTACCCAAGGAACAGAGCTCAACTAACATAAAATTAAAAGTCAAGAAATAGGCTGGAAAATGAGCAAACAACAGACCTGACCGGAAAACGCTGCTATAGTACCAGGGAATATCAACACAAACTGAGAAGGAGACAACAACATGAAAACAGCAAAGCCTCAAAAGAAAAATGCACACTGGATACAAGCCCAACAAGAATTCCTGGAAAAGCTAATGAAAAAGATCAGTGTGGTAGAGAAAAAATTGGGAAACACTTATTGACACCTTAAATGTGAATGAAAGATCTAAGAGAGAAGAGGGGAAGAGCCCTGATCCCAAACATTCCAGTCAGTATTGCCTCCCTTATTGTGAACTAGAGTTATACACCCCTAAGTCAGTCCAATCTGTCCTACTAGAATGTATCCTGGAGGGGAAGGAAGAAAAATCTGTAGCTCACAGAAGGGAATGGGTTTGAAGTCCTAGCACAGCCCAAGGTGATGATAAGCAAGAACTTGGATCACCCTCAAACTGAGATGTTCCCCAGGCTTTCAGAGTCCCAAGCTTTCAACCCCACTTCTGATGACTTTCCTCCTCTTATTCTCTGCTTTAGCCTCATTAGTCAAATGACACCCTCCGCCTACTTCACCATTCCTTCTTGAAACTTCTACTCAAAACTTACCTCTTATATTAACTCCATTCCACTCTATTCATTGAATTAATGTTGACCTCTCAGCATCCCTCAGATTGCCTTATGCTATATGTTCTATGTTAGCTATTAGATGATGTGTGATGGCCTTTAGATTCAGGAGGAGTGGAACTTTTGTAAAGCATATATGGACTAGGCATTACTATGATAGCCTTCCTTCAAGTACCTCCCCATTGGTCAACTGCCTTGCCTACAAATCCTGTAAGAGTCTTATGTTAAAATACAAACCACTCTAGGAAGGTCTCATTTTTCCTCTGATACCTCTAAGTAGGGGTCCTGAACTTTTTTTGGGGTAAAATCTAGGTACCTCTGCTGGGAAGAATATTTATAAATTCAAAGAATAAAATACAAAGGATAAAAAGGAAACCAATAATATTGAAATATAAATTATAAATTGAAATTTTAAAAGTATGCTATATTACTCCATTACAGTAATAGCTAATATACAACATAATAATAAATATATTAACAGAATAATAAATATAAATTGAAATATAGGTATCAAGTTTAATTTTTAAAAAAACCAACACCACATACCTCAGGTCAAGAATACCTGCCTCAGAAGGATGTGGCTATTATACGTTGTCCCACTTGCAAAAGGGACCTGGCCAAGATGAGGGAATGGCCCTGGGGGAAGGAAGGCATACTCTATGGACTTACATTTGTACTAAGTTAGCTAGTTAGGCTGACTGGGGGCCAAGGGACCCATAGTCTGTGTTATAAAGAAAGTAGCATCCCATAGAATCATCAAATGCTAAGATCTTTGACTCATTAGAAATATAAAGTGTTACGGGCAGCTAGGTGACACGGTGGATAAAGCACCAGCCCTGAAGTCAGGAGGACCTGAGTTCAAATCCAGCCTCAAACCAAACACTTGACACTTACTAGCTGTGTGACCCTGGGCAAGTCACTTAACCCCAATTGCCTAAAAATAAAATTTTTAAAAATTTAAAAAAAAGAAATATAGAGTGTTAGGAGTAGTGATCTCAGGATCATAGAACCTCATAGACAGTGAACTCTGAGGTAACCTAGACCATCCCCATGTCTGAGGCAGGAAGCCCTTTGATAAGATTCCTGATAAGTAACCAGTCATCCAGTCTCTGTATAATACCTCCATGTTCATGGAACTCCATTTGCTCAGACATTCTCTTTCACTGAGCTAAGATCTGCCTGTCTGTGGCCAGTGGTTTTAGTTCTCCCTTCTGGCACCAAACAGAACAGGTCAATCCCCTCTTCCCCAGGACAGCTCTTCAACTACTTGAAGGCAGCTGCCAAGTCTGTCCCAGCCTCCACCCCCAAGTACCCTCCAAATAAAATATCCCAAGTGCTTTCATCTAATCTATGCATGCCATGGTCTCCAGTCTCCTATTTCTTCTTCCTTCTCCTCCCCTTTGCTGACTCAACTGTCCTTTGACAGTTTCACTGATAGCCATTGTGTTTGTTGTTTCTCTAACCTTTTTACAGGTGCTCAACCCTGGCCATGGGGTGCAGGCGGGAGGGAGG